GTTTTGGAGTAACACAAGGGTTTTTTATTTATTGGCATCCACTAAAGCCCCGTCTACATTATTTGACTTTTCACTACCTTTGCAGCTTCATTTTCTGCTACTCTCCCCATTTACTCAACTTCAGTGACTCTGGCCTTCTGTTTCCTAAAACCATCATTTTGTTGCTTACATTTTGCATTGCATTCCTTCTGCCTGAAAAATTCCTTCTTGGTCTTTTCACATGATTGGCTCCTTCTTATCTTCCCCACTTTGATTAACTGTCACATTCCAAGAGTGGCCTTCCAGTATAATCTTACAGATGAAGGGTAGCCTTCTTGTACACTGTTACAGATGATGGCTTCCCTTCTGCCATGTGGTTTGTCACAGCTCTAATCTGAGTCCCTCATAGTACTTACCACCTCTTTATATGCTATGTATTTGCTCATTATAGTTCAGTTCTTTCTTGTTCACTGTTATAGCCCCAAGTCTTAAATCACAGAAAGTAAGAAGTAGTAGTTGAATTAATGAATGATTACATGGAACTAGCCACTTACAATTATAATACCTCATTTGCTGATTTTATAATTACAAAGTACTTATTTCAATTAATTTCCATGTGAAATTTTCATCTTCCCAAAATTTTTTCCCATAAAAGCAGGATTTCTTTTACCATAAAACCAATTCCAAAAATGCAAATGCCATAGAGATGTTTATTTCAAGAATACTTTATCAATGTTAACTGAAAATTTACACATACAGAACTTTTTTTATAGAACTTTTCCAAAAGGAAAAAAAGTACATGAGAAAGGAATGTATTTGTAGATCTGAAAGGAGAAAAATATATATCAATGGATTATAAAATAAAGATGTTTTATAGCATGATTAAAGAACTAATTTATCAAGTAAATTTGAGTTTATATCACATATATATCATCTAAACATATAGGTTCTTTTCTTTTGTTTTAGTTTTGGTTGTTTGAGACAAGATCTTGGTATGTAGTTCAGGCTGGCCTCGAACTCGAGGCAATTCTCCTGCCTCAGCCGCCCAAGTGCTGGTATTACAGGTGTGCTCTACCATGTCTGGTATATAGGTTCTAATTTTCAAAAATTTAATATTAGCCAAGGGGGTAGGTAGAATAATGCCACCCTATCTCCACTGTTGTGCCCAGATCGCGAAGTCCCCAAAGACCACCAAGGAGCCGATTCTGATGTAAACACACGAGGGTCGTTTACTTAAGCTCGAGCAGGGGCACTCAACCATCACCGACGCAGCGGATCAGGATTGAGAGCCCCGAATTCTAAATCAGCAGGGTTTTTATTGTGGCTACCGCAAGGTTTGGGGATGTTCCATTTAGCAGTTACATGATTGGTTGATATTTAGCAAGCATGGGGCGTTGAGGGGTGGCTACATGTAGAGTTTATGGGAAAAAGGAACAATCAGCACATTGACAGAATGTTCTATAGATAATGGGCCCGGGAGCATCTGTTTTCTGGGCAGACAGAGGATTGAGTTAGGAGCTGTGTCTTTTTTTATCTGTTGTCTCACAGCAAGGACATTTTATCATTATTTTATGGGCACAAAGGAGACTAGGGGAATAGTTGACTTCAGTGAAGTGGAATTTATGTCAAGGCCACTTCACTGTTTTATTTTAAGATGGAGTCAAACTTTAAAATAGAGTTAGTTAGGTCTCACACCACGAGATGTTTATATCCATGTCCCAATCCCTGGAATGTGTGAATATGGTACCTTACATGACAAAAAGCACTTTGCAGACATGATTAAATTAAGGATCATGAGATGGGAAAATTTTCCTGGATTATCTGGGTGAGCTCAATATAATCACAAGAGCAGGGCATGTTGGCGCAGGCCTATAATTCTAGCACTCTGAAGGCTGAGCCAGGAGGATTGGGAGACCCTGTCTCAAAAAACAAAACAATACAATCATAAGAATCCTTATAAGGAAAAGAGGCAGGAGAGTAGGAGGAAATGTACTGAAACAAGATGAAACTGAGTGATATGAATGCTGACCAGCAGGCAGACTGAGCAGAGGGAAGAATGTGCGAAGGTCTGGAAGCTGGAAAGACAAGAAAACACATTCTCCTCCAGAGCCTCCCAGAGGAACACCCCCCTACCTACATTCATTTTGGACTTCTGACCTCCAGAACTGTAAGATAATGTGGCTTTTATGTTGTTTAGGCCATTAAATTTGGGGTAATTTGTTACAGCACAGAAAACTAACCCAACTACAATGAAACAAACTTAATTCAGTCTTTAGTACTTCAAAATCTTGCCCATCGAGGTCATCATTGTGAGAGTCAATTATTACTGAACTGTAAGTAAACAGACATGCTGGTTAATGAAGCTTTTCTCTAGACGAATGAACAAGCAAGGTTTTTACTACAAAAACTTTGTAAGAATTAAGAACTGCTTAATCCAGACCAGACAGATTAAATTAGGAAATACCTCCTAAAGATGAACTTTCAGGAAGACTTGAAAGGGGGTTAGCAAGGATTTCCGAGATGATCTGGAAAAACCCTAAGCATAGGCAGAATGGGCAGTAACTGGTGATTTGAACTACATAAAAGTACACGAAGGAAGCAGGATAACCTTGTCAAAACAATGCTTTGAATTTCTTTATTTTTATCTAAAGACTCTTAACATGCTTATATATTTTGCAAGATTTTGGAAAGGATGGTTATGACCATCTTATTGGCACAGACACTTGACTAGCTTTCTATCACTCTGAAAAGGAATGCATTCCTTGAGAGAAATCGAGCCCAACAGGTAATGTTACCATTGCAGAGAAGTAGGTAAAATACAGACCTCTCTTTCTCATGCAGTATCATAGTGGAAGTGTGTTCGGAGCAATGCTACATAATTTTAGGGTAAAAATCATTTGGTTAGCCTAGTTCTCCTGCCTACAGCCCAGCTATGGAATTCCGAGACATAACTCCATTTTGGCCTCCGGTCGCAACTGAGACCTCAATGATCCAGTGATGCTGTGATTCTCCAGGACAAGAAACATCCTGGGAGCTGAGAACATCCTGGAAGGAACAAACATCTACTCAGTTCCTCCTAGTTCTTGGATTGTTACAACTTATTTATGCAGGATGTACTGAACTCTCTGCAAGTCATTTGTTATACTGTTTCTCCCGATGTACTGAAAAAAAGGTGCAGTGAGCTGGGGGCTTTCCTCTTTGCTGCCCAGAGCAGCACTGATCAGACTCAAAGCTCAGCTTCTTCTCAGTCTCATTTTTCTACCTTTTCTGTAATTCACCTTGTGCTGCCGTGGCTCACAGGAGACTAGGACCTTACTGCAGAGGTTCTAGTAACGTCCCCTTTCCCTGTTCCCTACAGAAGTGATCTTAGTGGTGAAGAAACAAATTTAAAGGGGGCAGTGTGATGAACTGGGAGCATAGATTTTGAAATCAATCAGAGCTGGTTCAAATTCCAGCTCTACATTTTGCTGGTCATGTGATTTTAAGCAAACAAATTAGAGTATTTTGATTCACCACTTCTTTATAAATACCTAACTCATATGATATTATTATTACATGAGCATTTTCAACACATAAATAATACTAGGAACAACAAAAACTAATTACAATTACTTCCCAGTTTTGTCTTAGGCTGGCCAGGGCTGGAGGAATATAGTGTTTTAGGACTTGAAAGATTTCTTTAGTGAGTCTGATACAATTGAGTGGGCCCAAATGGTCCAGGCTCTTGTGTATAAGGAAAGAACTGCCAAGCATACACCTCATAGTATGTAGTTACATTTACTGAAGATGGAGGACTAGCAGCAGGAACATGAAGAAGGGCAAAGCGGGCAAGGAAGCCTTTGTAACTCAGGGTTCCAGCATTTCTAGGGTCAGATATCCACTGGTTCCAGGTGCCTCCCATTGTCTCTCTCGCTGTCAGCAATCTGTGGGACCTCCTAAATTTGTGCCTGAATAAACACTGAGGTGGTGTTGCCTTATGGTTGGAGTAAGAGAAGGGAGGTGCCTCACACAATCTCCCTGTTTTAGGATTATGGAAGTGTGGATAACCATTACGGTGGTGCAATGTTTACATTCAAACAAAGGGAAAGGAGTTTCTTAGCTCCTTTGTTTCTAACTGTATTGAGTCTGAGTCTGTGTACATATTGATGGGTGGTGGTGGAGAATGGCGGTATTAGGTGGTAAGAGTTAAAAGCATCTTCCAAAACTAATGAGAATGTGGGCTGGGGATTTAGCTCAGCAGTTCCATCACCTGCCTCGCAAGCTCAAGGACTGGAGTTCGATCTCTGGTACCAAAAAAAAAAAAAACCAATGAGAATAATGAGAAAGATATTCCTTACATTCAAAAGATAGTTGTTTCTCCCCTGACAGAAAGAAAATTCACAATTTTTACCAGGAAGAAATTTGAGAGGCGGTTCACTTAAACTGCAACAAAATTAACTACTGCATAGGTAGTGATGAAAGGGAACTTGAAATTCTTGTCTCTTTAACTTTTTCCCTCACTGGTGATGTTCTCAATCATCAGCTCTGTTGGTGTTCTCAAGCCACTTACTTATTTTACTTTGGCACAATTTTCTTTTTATTATGATATGGAGAAGATAAAATGAGGTGATAAAACTTGGTAAGATTTCTGTGATTTCAAAAACAACTGAACTATATACTAATCAAAAGCTTTTTAAAACATCCATAAATAAAATGATAGTAATGGACAGATTCTATAGTAAATTTCAGAGAAACAGGAGCAAGAAAATAATTTGAAGATATGAAATCCTTGCTTCAAATAAAGAAATTCTATAGTTGTATTTTTTTAAATAGTTGAGGTCACAAACAGTATGAATGTCATATTTATCAAACTATCAACAAGGGTGCTTATCGTAGTATATTGAGAAAATAAATTGGAAATTTAGTGAGGGACAGATTTTGAGGGATTGAAAAAGTCAGGCAGAGGAACTTGAACTTAACAAGGTGGAAATAGGAAACAACTGAAAGTTTCAGAGAAATAAAATGACATGATTAAAACAGTATTGAAGAAGAAATCATGCCTTAAGTAATATTTATTGTAATGTAGGTAATATTGTAATTAAAATAATACTGGTATCATTCTCATTCAGAGTAGCTGTCATCTCTCTCTTTCTCCATCTTCAAATAAATCATCTTCTTTAACTTTAAACTCAGCCTCTTTAGTTCTTTACGAATGCCAAGCTTAGCAACTCCTGGACCAGCTTTTTCCAGCAAAGCAGTGGTTTGCAGTCCATGCCTGGGTGTTACAATAGAATATAGAAAAAAAAAAGAAAATTCAGATTTCATAAGATTTAGAAAGTGGTTAATACATTAAGCAAATGGGAGGCCAGGAACAGAAGTTATTGTAAAGATTAAGACATTTCAGCTGTTCAAACTGGACTAACCTACCTTCAACAATGAGGGCTTTTAAAAATAGTTTAGGTGGAAGGCCATTCACTGCCAAATCATTGTTTTCTTTATCAATGCAAAGTTTAGTTAACTACTCCAGTGATTCTCTTAAAAATTCAGAACATCATGGCCAAGAAGAGGCAGTTTCCCGTTACTCTTTTAAAAGACATTTTCTCTCTTCTTTTTTCACTCTTTGCGTTGTCCCTGCCAACAATTTCCTTTAAAGAATTTAAATCACCTTCTAGCCTTTTTGAAATTATACATGTCAATGAGGTCAGGTTATTAGCCTTGCCAAAAGGTAATGCTTCTGTCATCTTCTCTAATGGACATTTTTCTTGATATTTTCCATTCTTCCACAAATAAGAACTAGTGAATCATAAGCCAACCTTCAAAAGAACTTATTATTTAAATAAATATGTAATACATTTCATGGATAGAATTTGAAAACCTCCACACTGGGCCAGAATTTCCTCTATTTTGTAGGAAGCCTAATCAAAACTCAACCATTGCCTAACCTGCAGCATGGACACTAGAAGATTGATTTCTGGAAGAATTTCTTGATATCAGGACAGTGTTTTCTAGCTATTTCTGTGCTCAAGACCAGTGTATTAGCAAATTTTCTAGTACCTAACCTTGTTTGAGGGCAGGCCATAGTTTATTTTATTCTATACCCTAGTGCTGATTATAGTACTTGGTACATAGTAAGGCTCTCAGTAAATTTCTATGAACAGAATGAATGAATAAATACAAAGACTCCACCTAGTAGAGGACCCATAGTTTGAGATGGAAATAACAAAGTAGTTATCATTATCACCATAAATATTTACTTAATAATTTTACTTGGTGAGGTGCTAGAGTTTATTATTGTATGTGCTGCTGAAGTGAGCACAGGTACTAGAGTTTATAAAGAGAATCTTAACACCATTCTTGCTCTTTTGAGATAAAATCTTGGGAAAAAAGTGTGAAAAAATTTTTATTCATATAGAAAAATGTATTAAGCATTTGCAACGTTCTAGCATTGTTTCTTGGCACTGAGGTTATAATGGCAAATAAGGCAAAGATAACAATTTCTGTGCTTGGGAAGCCAAACACATATCTGAATAAGTGTTAAGGAAAAAATAAAGTATGGAACTGGGGATATGAAACAGGACATATTAAAATTTTTAGATAATATGGCTAGTGAAGGACTCATACAGGTAAACGCTGAATAAAAACATGAAAAAATGTTATAGTGCTATAAAAGGAGAAGAAAGGTGAAGGGATGAGAGGTGCTAGTGTGTGTGCAAGGAATAAGCATTATACAGTCCACAATGGTTACAGTCAGTATTGGGTCTCACGATGGTGGTGACAGCCAGGGCCTTGGGACTCAGTGCTAGAGGATACCTGAAGAGCCGAGTGGTTCTAATTGGTATGAAGGCTAAAGGAATGGCTATGGATCCAAACAAAACAAAAAGGTGCTTAAAGTGTTATGCAGTAAGGTTACAAAACCAGTTCAGCTGCTTTTCTAATTTAAATTCATGTATCCAAAAGATAGATGCCCTATGAAATTATCAGACTATATAATTGAAAAGGAATTAGAAAAAATAAAGCACATGAACTTGATCTGGAAGAGATTAGTGATGTTAAGGAAAGAAGGACAAAAACAAGCAGCAATACAATGGCCTAAGGTGGTCTTCTGGAGCATTAAAAAAAGGAAAATGTATGTGTAAGGTGGAACTTGCACCTGGTGGGTTGCATTTCTCCCACTCCCAAACATGTTTTTTTGTTTGTTAGTTTTTTGTTTTTGGTACTAGGGATGGAAGTCGGGTCCTTGAGCTTGTGAGGCAGGCGGCGGAACCACCCAGCTAAATCCCTGGCCCTCCCAAACATATGTTGAAAGCCCAATCTCTAGAACTACAGACTGTGGCCCCACTTGGAAACAGGGTAATTGTAGACAGTTAAGGAGGTCATATTGCCCAATCCAATATGGTCAGTCTCCTTATAAAAATGGGAAATTTTAACAATCACACAAGGAGAACATCATGTGAAAGTTAAAGTTATATTGCTACAATCCAAAGAACCACCAGAAGCTAGAAGGCCTAGGAAAGATCCTTTTCTAGTGTTTTCCAAGGAAGCATGGCCCTTCCTACACCTTGACTTCAGACTTCTAGCTTCCAGAACAAAGACAGTACTTTTCATTTTTCTAAAACACTCAGTTTGTGGTAGTTGTTATGCAACCCTAGGACACTAATTCAGTGTGTAAGATGATTCTGAGGCAAACAGGAAGAGCATTCTTATCTCAATAGTGCTTAACTGACTTATGCATTAGAAAAGTCCAATGCTTTATTTGGTACCGGGGATCGAACTTGGGACCTTGCGCTTTCGAGGCAGGCGCTGGAATCACTGAGCTAAATCCCTGGCCCTTTTACTTTGATATTTATAAATCTTATCTTCCTGTTTCCAAACCTCCCTCTTTTAAATTTCATGTTGCATTTTAAAAAAGAAAAACCATATAAAACCTTCCTGCTGGCCAAATGAGAGGCCTTTTCTGATCTGTGTGCCTGTAACATCTGTCAAACAAACAGAAACTCATCTGACCCTGAGAGCTACGATGAAGAAAAACGTCTTTCAACATCTGCTTCAAAGCAAAAGTTGAAAGGTGGAAAGAACCCTTATTACCAATCCTCCCACCCCAAGTTGAAGAGCGGATCGCGCCCCTCTCGCCTGCAGAGCAGCGGTCGCTGCAGCCTGGGGAGGGCTCGATTTCCCGTCTCAAAAAGAGGGAGCCAAGCGAGGCCAAGGTGCAAAGAAACCGCAGATCTCCAGCAGCATCCACCTCCCTCTGGGGCACAGGCCGCGCATGCCTGGCGGCGAGGGCGTCCTCTAGAGAGAGAGCCGGCCCGCCCAGGGAGCCGGCGGCAGGGTGGAAGGGCCCCTCCGGCCGGCGCCCGTGGTCCGCTGACCGCGGGGCCCCGAGCCACAAGTGCCCAGATCGTACCGCGGCCTCATCGTCCACGCGTGCGTCCCGGGGCGTCCGCCTTGCTTCCCCACGCTGCCGGGTCTTCTCGGGGAAGCCCCCCAGCCCCGAGAGTCTGCGCGGCTGGGCGATTCCGCCGGCGGCTCTCGTGCTCAGCGTCCCAGGCCCGGCTTCAGTCCGCCGCGGCAGCCATCACGCCCCGCAGCCACGCCCGCCCGCGCGCAGCCGCGGGTCGGGCCGCACTGCGCAGGTGCGGCGGGAGGGTGGGGCGCTCCGGGACGCGCGTCGGGGCCGGCTTCTCAGGACGGCTCGCCGTCGCCCGCCACCGTTCGTCGCCACTGTGCTCCTCCCCGAGGCGTCCCTCGAGTCCCTCCCTGGCTGTGGGAGAAACGGAGCAGAGCAGGACCCGCCCGCGCCGCGCCTCGCTCTCGGCCCTCAGCTCGGGAACATGGGTGAGTCGGCTCGGTCAGCACGGACATCTTCCTTCGGCGCTGCCGGGCCGCGTCTCGCGCGAAGTTGCCGGCTCCGTGGGTCCGCGGGCTCAGGAGACTGGGCGCGGCGACTGGGTGGGGTTCCGCGCGGCTGCCCTTGCCCGGCGTGGCCTGGCTCCAGCTGGTCCTGGCGGGAGAGACCGCCCCTCGCAACTTCGAGACGGCCCGCCGCCCTTCTCGGTCCAGAGAGGCGTCCGGTGCTCCGGGGAAGGCTCCGAGGGCCGGGCGGCGTCGACTGCTCGGGTGCGGGGCGCGCGGCTCCCGGCCGAGCTGCGCGTGAAGCCTCCTGCGACTCCGGGCCCGAATCCACCTGCCGGCTGCTGTCTCCCGGCTGCCCAGCCCAGATCTGCATAATCTGATTTTAGCTCCTTTGTATTTATAGTTAATCTCAAGAGATGGGTTTTGGGTGAAATATTTAAAACCAACGCTTTGCAAAACTATATGTGGTTTAACTTGAATTTTTCAACATGTATTACTTACCTGTTAGTAATTGAAAAAAGTCTAATGTATACGGTGATGTAATTAAAAGCCCGAAGTTTGTTTTAATAGTAGCGACTTGGAACACCTTACTTCCACTTGTTCCCCAGGTTGCTTCCACTCCTTTCATAATTTTCCCTTTTTATATTTGCTCCATTGGCATCCCCCACTCAGACTTTCCCTGCTACCATGTACAAGTTATTGTAAGCTTGGCATAAGTGGGGTCCTTTCATCTGTCAGCACAGTGTTCAGCACATCCGCAGTGAGGTCGTGGCAACCCAGAGCCTTGAAGGAAGGGGTGTTTCGATCTGGAAATGGTGTGGAGCTTCCTGTGAAACAGATGCTCCCAGCTGTGCTCCCGATCTTTGAGCTTGTGATGGCTCAGAAGAGGCGCCCTGCAGGTGGAGGTAGTGCGAAGGAAAAATACTTAAGGACCCTGAATTTTATTTTCTGTTGTTTCCTTTTAATGTGAGTACTATTGATAACGCCGAACAAATTTCTGTGCCTGCCATATTTTGTCTAGAATTTTTAATGAATATTAAATTAGATAATTGAACATACTGTTGCCTTTTGAGCCACACAGATTTCTTAATTATAGGCCACAAGTTTGGTTTGTGAAATACAGTTCATGTTTCAAGATGAGCTTAAATCCATTTAACTAAAAATTTAAATGGTGAATCAGTACTTTTTCACTGGAAAACAACCCAGTTCTGTTGCAAAATTAGTAAAATCATCAAAAACAAATTAAATTACCTAAAAATAATTATTTTTGAATGTTATTGGGTGATTAAAAAAAAACAAGGAGAAACCCACCATTAATTTTGAGAAGACCACCACTCATTTTGAGAACACAGATTAAAAGGCAATTTCTCCTCACCATTAATCAGTATGTCTTATGAATTGTTATAATAACTTTCTTGGCTGAAATACATAATTTCTTTCAAAGATTGGTTAGATTAATTTTACAGCTCTCTGTACGTTGTTAGCTTTTTTAGCACTTACATAATCTATACTGGAGTTGGTTTTGTGTTTTTGTTATGTATTTAATCTTTAGTTCCAGAAGATAGAATTATGTTTTATTTTTCTGTATCTCACAGTGCTTTTTACATGGTAGTTATTCAGTAAACTTTGCAAATTAGTTCTTAAAAACCACCTTTTTCTAACTTCATTATTTCTTCATTATTTCTAACATTTGAATCTGAAAGTGCAGACTTGGAACAAACATTTGGATAGGTAGATAGGGAGGTATAGAAGACGTAGGAACAGGGAAGTATAATTACAGTATGGTCTCTCTTCTCTTTAAAAAGAATGTAGGTTATTTTAGAGTGAACCTCAGACCAGCCATTTCCTTCTAAACTGCTGTTTCCAGTGGTAAGGTCGTTTGTGTGTGATCAGTAGGTACATATGATAATGTAAAATTGAAATCCTTCAAAGCAATTATATGTCTGCGCCAAGGAATTTATTATAACAGTTCATGAGATATGTTGGTTAATGGAGGAAAATTGCTTTCTAATCTGTCATCTCAAAAAATAAGGTGATTTTTTTAAAAAAAGATTTTTATAGCAATGATTTTCTCTACAAGAAAGTGAAGGAAAACTCCTATATAACCTTATGGACCAAGGCTGTTATTTCATGTGTGTATTTTGTTATAAATTCAACATTTTTTATTTGTTGATTATCAACCATATGTTTCTTATAATTGTAATAGAAACAATGATGCACAAATAACTGTAATAGAAATAAACAAAAATGATAGAAGACCTTTACCTATATTACAGATAATGGGCACAGAAAGTTTTAGAGAAGTGTATTTGAGTCAATTAACCTTTTGAAATTAAACTGTTACTCAGGAATGGGGAAGGGACTATGTACACGAAGAGAGGGGGAATATTTGAGACGTTTGTAGGATTGGATTGAATCACCATGTTTGGCTAGAGCAGAAGACAAGAGGAAAAGTATTAATAGACAACCAGATAATGGAAAATCTTAAATGTCTAGATAAAAAAGTTTGGATTTGTGTGTTGAAGGAGCATTACACATTTTTATGAAGTAAATTGTTGCTCTTTATAGGGACTGACACATGATCCTTTCTTGCTTGAGAATAATTTGTAATTTCATCCCAGTGCTTCACATTTCTTTGATGTTTCATGTCCTTATGTCTTTATGACTTGGCATACAACTTACTTTTGTAGTATCTGTCATTAGGCATTGTTTCAACATGCATTTTGATGGGAACAAAAACACTGAAGTCATAGCAGTGATAAAGTCCATTTTGAGTCTAAAATTTTGATTGTTTGAAACTGAAGTTGTAAGTATATATAATAACATTGATGCTTAGATTCATTGTAGCATAACTTGTTTTTCTTTAGTGTTCAAATGGTAATTTCTACCATTCTTTCAGTGTATTTTTATTGTTACCAGAAGCATTCTAGTTATAACCACGGTCTAGGATAGTGATAAATGGTAGTTAAATTGATCTACTAGCTATGATTAGTTGTAAATTCCAGAGTCATAATGGTTTTTTTCAGTTTTCTGCAAGAAGTAGATACCAATTGGGGTGTGTGTGTGTGTTACATCTTTGTATCCAGTAGATTATTAAATATTTCTTCATGCATACTTCAAATTCAAGTTCAAAACTTAAGTCATTTTATAATGCTTAATAACAGTAACCAGGGTGTGCTGGTGTTTAACTGACAGCCTTTCTCCAGAAGCCCTGATTTGTGGTGATTGCCAGTTTCCTATGTTGTAAATACTTTAACCAGGGACAGATTCAAGCTACAAAATTGTGTTACCAAATACCCATAGATTCAGGAAGAGATGAAATGCAACATATCATTATATAGTATATCTACCTTACAGGCTTAGTAATCCCTTAAGCACATAATACTAAAATGTAAGGAATTGTTGTTTTTAATATTAATAATTTTAATGTAATTCATTTAAAGTGTGTATAATTTAATTTTCAGTAGTGCGTGTTTTAGTAATTCATAAAATTCCTAAAAATGTAATCATATCTCATTGACCAGTAAAGGAGTACCTAGTACACCATTGAGTTACTAATTCAGTAAGAATTACTGATGTCTGCTGGGTGTGGTTATCCTAGCACTCAGGAGGCTAAGACAGGAGGATCACCACTACTTTGAGGCCTGCCTGGGCCATCCTGAACTACAGAATGAGACCCTGTCTCAGAAAAAAAAAAAAAAATTATTGATGTCAGTTATCATGCTACAATTTGAATTTTTTTTTTCATAGTAGTGGGGAATTGAACCCAGGGCCTTTGCACAGAGATACATCTCCAGCCCTTTAAAAACACTTACGTTTTATTTTGAGACTGAGTCTTGTTAAGTTGTTAGGTTGCCCACACTGGGCTTGAACTTGGCAGTCCTCCTGCCTCAGTCTTTCAGAATGCTGTGATTATAGGCATGTATCATCACACCTAACCTTTATTTTAATCTTTCCAACAGTTCTATGAATGAGTGACAATTCTTATTTTACTGATTATACAATTTATACAGGGAGACAGAACTAATTTCATGCAGTGATTTTCAAAGGTTAGCTTGCATAGGAATCACCTGGAGAACTTGTTTTAAAAACTACTGGGCCCACTCTTCAGAAATTCTGATTCAGCAGGTAGTGTAGTGCCCTGAGAATGTGCATTGTTAAGATGTTCCTAGGTGATGCTGCACTGAGGATAGTGCCACATCCATCCAAGACTGGCAGATGTCAGTAAAGGGCCAGATCACGAGTGTTTTAGGCTTTACAGGCCAAGAGGCAAAACCCAGGTTATTACATAAAAATGAGAGAAAATTCATGATGAGAGAAAACAACTATCCACAAATTTTTTGACTGGATGCAAAGCATGATAACATTAATGGAGCATAGTTTATTGTAGTACAAAGTGAAAAGACTGAAATTGGCTTTGGCGGGGAGGAAGATAACATTTACGTAATTGTGGTTTCAATCATAGGATTCTGACCCTATCAGAAGTGATTTTAGTTTGTAGATGTTATTCTGTTAAAGTAATGTGACTTTATGCACTTCATCTTTGAAGCTCTGTTTTTTCTTTCCCCCACACAGATAGGTACTGCCAGTTGGGAATGTTTATTTTTTGTGTTTGGTGGTACTGGAAGTCAAACTAAGGATCTTGCATATGCTAGGAAAGCACTCTATCACTGAGCTTCATCCTCAGACCCGGATATGATTTTAATGAGTATATTCATTGTGTGGAAGACATTTATAGAATTCATTTAGATTCTTCTCTTGATATTTGAAATTTAGCAGGCTCAGCAACCATTTCCACTTGAAGGCTAGGTGGGAGTGCCTCAATTGGATAGTTAAATGGGTGTTGAAATATGGAAATTTCCTTTGCATTTGCTGTGAGGTCTGAAAAACACTGCCATAACTGTAGGTTGAGCTTGAAAAGTGTATGTTAAGAATTTGGGTTTGCATGGAGATCTTGTTTAGCTGTTGACAACATAGGAAAT